GCGCGCCTAGTTGCACAACGGTGGGCGAATATTACCAGTGTAGTGGAGAAGTTTAAATGGATGGACGTTAGAGGATGACAGAGGGTTACGGATAGGTGAGAGAGTCGAAGGGTTAGGGGTGATCAGAAAGCGGAGAGGGAGACGGAGAATGACGAGGAGGGAGGACGCAGACGGCAAGGAGGACTGATGATGACGATGATGATAATGATGCTGATGCTGATGCTGTTGCTGATTCTGATGCTGATGCTCATGCTGATGCTGCTGCAGCTGCTGCTGCTGATGATGATGATGCTGCGGCTGATGATGATGCTGATGATTACGATGACGATGCTGATGCTGATGCTGATGCTGCTGATGATGATGCTGCTGCTACTGATGATGATGCTGATTATGATCATAATGATGATGATCATACTGATGATGATGCTGATGATGCTGTTGATGATGATGATGCTGATGCTGATGCTGATGATGCTGATAATGATGCTGATGGTGGTGATGATACGTGATGATGATGAATATGATAAGTATGATGATGATGATGATGATGATGATGATGATGATGATGATGATGATGATGATGATGATGATGATGATGATGATGATGATGATGATGATAATGATGATGATGCTGATGCTGATGCTGATGGTGATGGTGATGGTGATGGTGATGGTGATGGTGATGGTGATGTTGATGGTGATGGTGATGGTGATTGTAATGATGGTGTTGGTGATTGTTGGGGTGATGCTGAGTAACACAGAAGCATTTGGTGAAAGTCAGCAGTGAGCACCTCAGCCTCTTCTGGGTCAAGGCCGCGGCACTGCTTGGCCACGGCCCCTACGCCCCGGCGAGCGCCGCGCATGAGGTCGGAGGCCTCATGAAGGTAACCCGAGTAGGTGCCGTGCAAGCCGCGCGGAGCTGCTGCTGCTGCGGAGGACGCGACGGAGAGCCCGAGCCCGAGGCTCTGTCTGGTGGCCCCTGCTGGCGCCTCAGTCGACATTGTGGCGAACGTGTGCGGTGCTGGCTGGTCTGTCCCGTCGACCAGTTCCCCTTACCCTGCCGAGGACGCTCCCGCGTCATCGGCATCGGCGGGAGCCGCCTGGCGCGCGGAAACTGCCTGTGACAATGGCGGCAGCCAGTGCTACGCCGGGTGGCCGCTGCCAGGTCACCAGTATCTGCGCGGAGTGCACACTTGGAGGGGCTCTTCCCTGGTGAACGCGGCTGTCGCGCTAAGCTCAGAAGGTACGAGAGCCATGGCGAGGCCGCGAGCGGCTTCGAGGCGAGGCGTCACAGCGCGCCGACGCCGCCCCGCATGTCCCTATGGCGCTGTGGCGCTGAGCCCGCATGTGTTGCCAATCGTGGGCGACGGCCTGGACGCCGTGACGAGCGGAGGGCGACTCAGCGAGAAGCACTGGCTGGCCAGGCTGCCGCTGGTGGGAGGTCTGGCACCAACGCGCTGCTGCGAGGCCGCGTCATTGCCGTGGAGCTGGAGCTGCCGTTCGTGGTGTTGGTGCTGGCCCCAGTGTCTCAGGAGGGCAGAGCGGTTCTGACGAGCACCGATCTCCTGCTGGTTGTGTTTTGGGACTGCTTCCTCGAGAAGGTCGCAAGCCTCGCCTCGCTGGACCGAGTGTGCGTCGCGCTCTACGACGACGAGACGCTGGACGCTTGCAATCGCGACGAGACGGTGATCTTCTGCGACGGCGAAGGAGGCGTGAGCGCGCCCGACCTGGGCAAGGTGTTGGAGCTCACCCCTCATACCGACGGCTGATCCAACAGCATCATCCTGCGCGCCGTGCCCAAAAACGACCAGCTCGGACTGTTAATCACCTGCGCGCGGGAGATCTCGGAGTGTGCCCCCCCCCGATGGCACCCCGTTCCTGTCGGCCGAAGAAGGCGACAAGGTGGGCGAGGGCCAGCTCGAAGAGTAGCGGCGCGGGGCTGCCGAGGCGGCGTGGGCCGCGAGGTCCACGGGGCGCCTACACCGCGCCGCTGCCGGCCTGGCTGTTCGGGGGCTCTGCGGGCGCCGCGCCGGGCTCTGCAGCGCCTGCCCCCCCCGGCCTCCTCGCACCAACACTTGGAGGGCCAAGCCTACCTGCTTCTAGAAGATCAACGTCTGGGGCCGATGGCAAATACCGCTCCCACGTCCTAGCCAAAAGCGTTTATGGACACACTGGATGCCATGACGTCCATCGACACTTCCAGGGTGGATACGTCTGTGGACAACGTGGCCGTTGCGCTCGGCGCGGGGCAAGGTAGGAGAAAGGATATATACGTCTACGGTATATTCCTGTTCTAGAGCAGGTCTCACATGGAACTCCAAACCAACACACGGCGCCGCTCCGACTGGCGGCGGGACGACCGCTCTCGCTGGGCGAGGCCGTGGCCGCAGCCGAGGGGGCAATTGGCGGGGCGGCGCCGCGGCGCGCAGTTTGAGCCCAGCGACGGCACCGGGAGCAGCCCGCGGTCACCACGAACCAACCCAGCACTGTGCCGGGCGAGGTCCGCGGCGGCTTCCATGAAGACACCCTCGAGCCGCGGAGCCCCGGGCCTCTCCCAGCTGGGCCAGGGGCTCGACGCCGTGGAGAGGAGCGCCGCGCCCGTCGAGGCCGCTGCCCGAGGCGAACCTGGCGTGGGGCGCCTTGGCGCCGCGCGCGGGGGCGGCGCCTGCCGCTCAAAGGGCGGCGCCGCTGCCGGCGGCGTCGGCCACCGGCAGCCCGTGCGCACGGCGGGGCCCAGCAGGCGGGGCGTCGGCCTTCCTCCGACGCCCGAGGCCGCCGCCGGCGGGACGGGCGGGGCGGGGGCCTGCCCTGGGCTTGCCGGGTGCGGCCCTCGCTGGCCTCGGAGCTCCCGCGCCCTTGGGGCGGCGGGGGCGCGCCCGGCGAGGCGCCGCGCCCGCGCGGGCTGCGGCTCCGCGGGGGGCGGGCGGGGCGCGCTGCGCCGGCGGGGTGGTCCGGCCAATGGCAGGGCAGGGCGGCGGGAGCGCAGATCGTGCAGGGCGGTTTTGGATGCTGGACGCTGTCCAGCGCATCGGCGGGGTGGGCAAGAGCAGTCAGGCGGAGGCGGAGGAGGCGGAGGAGGAGGAGGAGGAGGAGGAGGAGGAGGAGGAGGAGGAGGTGGAGGAGGAGGAGGAGGAGGATGACGATGACGATGACGATGACGATGACGATGACGATGACGATGACGATGACGATGACGATGACGATGATGATGATGATGATGATGATGATGATGATGATGATGATGATGGTGGTGGTGGTGGTGGTGGTGATGATGAGTATGCTGATGATAATGCTGATGATGACGACGATGATGATGATGCCGCTGCTGACGATGATGACGATGATGATGATGATGCTGATGCTGATGCTGATGATGATGATGATGATGATGATGATGATGATGATGATGATGATGATGATGATGATGATGATGATGATGATGATGATGATGATGATGATGATGATGATGATTATTATTCTGATGATGAGAGGGGGCGGAGGAGGAGAAGGAGGAGGAGGCCACCCAGGTCGATCTTCTCTACGGCGACGCCGCGTCATGCTGTGGAGGCGAGTTCGACCCACCGGCCAACGTGAGCGGACCGCGGGGGGCAGCGGGCCTGCTGGCCCTCGACCGCGCGATCGAGCGGGAGCTCGCAAAGTCGTCCACCCGTGCTGCACGTTCGCTTTTCAGGAGCCCTGGTGCGGCGCCACGGGGGTGCCCCTGGAGTATGTCGTGGCACGGCCGCAGGCGGATCCGCTTCGGCCGACTCGAGGTTCACCGCGAGCGGTTCGGGGAGATGCTGCCAGCCCTGCGCCCCATCCACAGGGGCTGCAACCGCGAGCTCCTGGGTGCGAAGATCGGCCACTTTCTCAAAGCGGTGCAGCAGTCAGCCCACGTGAACGGCAGCTGGGGGATGGTCTGGCTGGCAACGGGTCTCCCCGAATCTTGCTCCCCAAATCTCGCGCCCCGCGGAGTTGGCAGACCCTGGCGCCAGCTCGAGAAAGAGCGAGAGAGAGAGAGAGATCGAGGCGCTCGAGGCCGCGCTCAAGAAGAAGGACGGTGACGATCCCGACAAAAGGGATGAGGTGGGGCCCAGAGACCAACACGTTGGCCCAGAAGGGCCCGAAGGACTATAGGGCGGCGCCGCCGGCGAGAAATCACCGCTGCCTGGGTCCGTCAGCCCGCAGAGACACCGAAGCAGAAGGCACAGGCAGTGCCTGTTGGCTCGTCCACCCGTTGAGCTTCATCGAACCTACCAGGACCAGGTTCACAGGCCAGCATCGACACGATCGTTGGCGCAGTTTTTCTCGTCTGGCATCCCCTCCCTGGAGGCGGGTGCTCTTTTGAGCACATCTGATGCGGCGACCTGCTCCCCAGACTGGCGCGGACCCGCTGTTGCCTCGTGGACTCGTGGACCTCCTTCTGCGTGGCGCGAGGAGCAGGCTGCGCCGACGTCGCTGCAAAGATGGGCGCGGTGGCTGCGCGAGAGGCGGAGGCGGCGCTGGGTCAATGTGACCGTGGCCTGTCTCACTGCCGCTGGCCTTCTTCAGTGTCTTCTCTCTCTCCCTCTCCGCATCCGCGTCAGTTTGTTTGGGGTCTGGAGGGCAAGTATTTCGGTTGTTGCCGCGTCGAGGGGGCAATGGCCCTTCTTGCTGGCGGCGTCGCTGGCATTCGCCAGGTGTTCGACGACCTGCATGGCCCAACGTGCCTTGGCGGCAGCTCGCAGTGCGCGCAGCCGCCAACCCTCGCCAGCGCGAACCTCAGCATCTCGACCGAGGGTGCCAGGATGTCGTTGGATGTGCCCGCCGTGCTGGAGGAGTGTCACCAGTCGTGAGCGATGACGGAGATCTTCGCGACATGTGTCCCGAGGATTAAGTCGGGCCTGTCCCTCTACAGGGGGGATGTTCAGAAATAGTCAAAACATAGTCCAGGGACCATTTAGTGAGTATGTTTTGACCAGTTTGGGGTACTTTTTTTTAAATTGTCGTCGAAAGCCCCC